GAGCAGGAGCCGCACAAATCCAGGGGCCCGGTGACCAAGGACCAGCCGCCCGCCTGGGTGCCCGCGGCCCCGCACCCGTCACTCCTGTGTCTCCACCAGCGGCTCGGCCCAGCACCAGCTCCTTCCGGACACTCGGGTTTCAATCCCCAAATCTCCATGTTGATCACCAGGTTTTGTTAAACTATTTCCTTACAAACTCATAGAATTCAGACGTTACTGCTAACAGCAACCGCTATGGAATGTCTGCCACACGCCAGCACTGCGTCCGGGACCTCCCTGTATTATCGCCATTTATCTGGACAACCAGCTGGGGAACGGGAACATTAGTTCCACTTTACCGACAGTGACACAGGCTCCAGGAGGCGAGGGTCTGCCCAGGTCCTGAGCTGCGAGAGGCCCACCAGGCTGCCCGGCCAGGCTCCGAGGGACGGAGCCGCGCTCCCCACACCTGGACGTCACCGGCTCCTGCACTCCAGGAGGACACGCCTCCCCCGGCCTCACTCTCCTGCTCCCAGCAGTGGGATTACTGATTTCATAGGCTGGGCCCGGAAGGTTCTGGAGACTCAGTCACGAGAAGAGGCTGCACTTGAAGGAAAAGACCCCGGGGTTCAAATCCCCAAACGCCCCGAAGAGCCCCCTAGAGGCCGTTCTGAGCGGAAGGTGGGGCCGTGGGCGGCGTGACCCGACGCCTGGCTGGTCACAGGACTGGTCATCACCCCGGATGGTCAGCCTGATCGGAATCGCCATTCACAGCCGACGCGCAGCCACTGAGAGGCCCGTGTGGAGGCGCCTCGGGTGTGAGAGAAGTCCCGGGTGATCCGGCCGCTCCTCCTCTGGGCGTGAACCCAGAGATCACACACACCCCACCAAGGTGAGAAGACGCTGGGCCCTCTGTTCACTGCGGCTTATCTACCAGAGCCTCGCCGAGGAAACAGCCCCGGGCCGCCGATGGGTGGACGTGATGCACGTGTGTACAGTGGAACACTACGCGCCCACGAAAAAGGCAGCATCCTGCCATTTGCAACAACACGGGTGAACCCTGAGGGCATTCTGCGAAGGAAGGAAGGCAGGCAGGAAAGGACAGAAGTGGTACGATTCCATTCCTATGTGGACGGTAAGAAACAACAGAACATACAAATCAAAACAAAAACTCATCAATGCAAACCCAGATGGGTGCCGAGGGGAGGCGTGGGGAGGGCGAATGGGTCAAGGGTCACGTGTGGTGGAAGGAATCTAGACGTGGGGGGGGGGGAGCGTGCCGTCGGTGTATCGCTGTCCAATTATAATGTCCTACACCCGAAACTTACAGTACATCAGCCAACATCGCCTCAAATTAAAAGAAGAAAATTACACAGCCCGACTGGCAAGCTCAGTAGTGAGCATCGACCTAAGAACCAGGAGGTCACAGTTCGATTCCCGGTCAGGGCACATGCGGGTTGTGGGCTTGACCCCCAGCGTGGGGCGTGCAGGAGGCAGCCGATCCACGCTTCTCCCTCATCATGGATGTTTCTCTCTCCCTCTCCCTTCCCCTCTGTAATCAATAAGAATAATAAATACAATTTAAAATTCTGTTAAAGAAAGAAAATTCGCTTTATTGTTTGTGTGAGGGTTAAGGAAATGATTTGAAAGAAATTTGGTTAGTCCTATTATATAATTTTGTGGATTTTGAAACCCACTAGTATGATTTTTTTTTCTTTGAAATAAAGGAAATGTAACTATAAGAATGGTATTTAAGCTCGTTTCTGTGTTTTCTTTTAGGTGGTATTAAAGATAATCAAACATTATCAAGAAGAAGGACAAGGCACTGAGGTGGTTCAAGGAGTGCTCTTGGGCCTGGTTGTAGAAGATCGGCTTGAAATCACCAACTGCTTCCCTTTCCCCCAGCACACAGAAGATGATGCTGACTTTGATGAAGTCCAATATCAGATGGAGATGATGTGGAGCCTTCGCCATGTCAACATTGACCATCTCCACGTGGGCTGGTACCAGTCCACATACTATGGCTCGTTCGTCACCAGGGCGCTCTTGGATTCTCAGTTCAGCTACCAGCATGCCATTGAAGAGTCTGTTGTTCTCATTTACGATCCCATAAAAACTGCCCAAGGGTCTCTCTCACTGAAGGCATACAGACTAACTCCTAAACTGATGGAAGTTTGCAAAGAGAAGGATTTTTCTCCCGAAGCGTAAGTGTTTGGGGGCCTGTAAGGCACACAGTAAAGGACTCGCATTAGGAAGATTGAGAACCACTGCTTAAGAACTTCTAATCTTTATTATCTCTATGGAAAAATAGAATTGATTCTTATATCCTCTTAACCCAAAACAAAATACTGGTGGTTCTGTGATGTGTTGATCTTCTTGTTTGAGTTCCAGATCATTTTATAATTTGAGGAACATTACAATTCTTTCTCTCACTTTCCCAAATGCACAGGCCAGATTAACACTTACTGCCAGAACATCAAGGAATTCACTGCCCAGAACTTAGGCAAACTCTTCATGGCCCAGGCTCTCCAAGAATACAACAGCTAAGAAAAGGAAGTTTCCAGAAAAGGAGTTAATGTGGACTCTTGAGATCACAATGGCGCAGCTCTTGGAAGAAATATAGTTGTATCTTGAAAAGTCTTCGAGTCAATAATAAAATATTAATTAAACAAAAAAACAAAAAAAAAGAAAATTCAATCAACAGTAGAGGCTGCTCCTTTCCTAGTGAGAAAATGCTCCTTAATCCCTGCAGCTGCTGGGGCTGCGTGGGGCGAGCAGGTGACACACCTACAGGTGACACAACAGCATCCCCTCAGGGCTTTAACGTCGGTCCGAGGGGCAGAGGTCTGATAACGGACGGATCTGAGCTTTGTCGCCTGAGCCACCCTCCACTCACACAGGACAAGTGTCTCAGCAGCCAGGACACCTCCCAAAAGTGGCCTTACAGGTCCCAGGGCGGGAGGAGCGGGGACACGGGGACGGGAAGCTAAACGAGGCCAAGCCGTGCGGGCCCTCAGCCAGCTCGTCACCAACAAGCCAGAATCTCCCACCAAGGACACGGTGAATGGTTACCCCCCCCCGCCCCCCAAGGAGGGAATGCAGAGAGGGAGGGGGTTGGGGAGGGGAGGGGAGAGGAGGGGGGGGAAGGGCCGTTTCACTCCCTAAGAGGAGCCAGCAGTCGGGCTCGGCCAGGTAAGTGGCAGGTGCTTCTGGTGAATTCTGGGAAGGCCACACAGTGAAAGGGGCCTTGAGAAAGACCCTGTATCGGGAGCTGTGAGACCCACAGACAGGAGGGTAGACAAGGCCTCAGGCCCACCCACCTGCTCTCAGACGAGCTGGGAGCCGTCCGCGCTTCGGGAGCCAGACGCACTGTTCGCTGGCGTCGCTGCTGTAGCGAAGGCACCAGCTGTAACCGCCTTAAGGAACGGGCCCTCACCACGCAGTCGAGGTTGCGTGTCAATTCATTCACACGGGGAGACGAGGGTGGAGGCTGGGGACGGCCCCTCCAGGGCTCAAGGGCTGTTCTGTCCGGGAGCCCCTCTGGGGTCAGCGAGAGGGGCCTCGACCAGTGAGGGACGGAAATCGGGGTGAGCAGGGCACCCTACACGTGGGCACCAGCGTGTCAGTGCCGGTGACTTGGCGCCTCATCTCTGACGCCTAGCGAGTCGCTCTTTCGAGACACACAGCTCCGGACGGGGCCTCGGCACCCCCTCCCTCCCGGCTCCGACTCCTGGGCCCTGAGCCGTCCCGGAGCCTGGCTGAGCCCGTTTGTCCCTTGCAAAATGGAAATAATCACACGTCGGCCCAGGGTGTTGTGGAGTGTGATGGGCGGCTCCAAATACTCAGCGATGATCAGATGAAAGGCGTGCTTTACGTTTACCACGTTAATTATTATTTTTATTGCACGTAATTATCCGAAAATACCAGAAGCTGTTGGAGGTTGTTTTGCCACCACTTCCCATGAACCCCGCTGAGCCTGCTCCTGGCAGCCGGGCTCCCTGCTCCCTGTGAGCGGCTCCCCACAGGCTGTTCCCACAGAAACCACCTGGGAACATGCAAAGCAGGCGGCCCGACAGGACGGGGGCCTGCAGGTGAGCTGCGAGCTGCTGGCGGAGGCGCCCGGCCTCCCGGTGAAGCAAGCGCAGAGCCGGGGATGATGAGGGAACAAAGACAAAGCGATTGCGACACGGAGCTCCTGCGTGCTCCTTCCTGGGCCTTCGCCCCGTCGGGGAGCGAGGGGGCGGCTCCGGGGAGGGTGTGGCCGAGGCCAGGAGGCCTCTTCCTGGACCAGGTCAAAGGGTTGCACGCGGCGGGCGGGGTGGGAACTCGGATGTTTTGAATCTAAGAACTGGGAGATGCTGCCTCTCTCAGACACATGGGCACCGTCCGGATAAGGCGCCGCGTGAGCAGCCCGGCCGTCTGTGCGGAGCCCTGGAGGCTGACGGGGTCTCCCAGACCAGCTCCCGCGCTCCACGCTGCGGGTGTGTTCCATCCGTGAGCTCACAGGCTGCAAGGACTCCCGTCCTGATGGTCCATGTCCCCCCTCCCCTCCTCCCCCAGGGCCCAGCTCCTCCTCCTGCAGAGCTGCCTCCTTGGCCGGCCCAGGGCTGAGTCACAGAACTGCCCTGGGAGCGGAGGCGGCTGCCCCAGTGCGGGCCTGAGCCATCGCTCTAGCATTTGTTCTCATGAAGCCGGGCTGTGCTCGTTTGGTGTTTGTGCTTTAACTGAACTAAAAATCCAATTTCCAACAAAGGCCTGTGCGTCTGAGGAAGGGGCCGTCGTGGGTCAGAGGGGAACCTCTGTTCTCGCACTTCCCACCACGGCTGGGCCCCTGGGCGGGCAGCTGTTCTCGGCTCTTCTCTGTCGGGCGATGCCACTGGCCCTCCCCCAGCCTGACCAGGACACACCTCCCCACGGCCCTCCACGTCCTGTGCTGACACGGGGGCCGTGTGAGTGCCCACGCGGGTGTATCGCTGTGACGGCGTGTTGTCGCTCGTCCCCCGAGGCCGTGGCTGCCCGTGACTCAGCACCACGTGGGCAGAGCTTTCTCTCCGAGCACTTGGCTCACGTTAAACCCTGAGACACACACAGCCTGGTGACGCTTCTCTCCCTAATTCCCACGTGAGTGACACTGAGGATGAGTGTGGGAAGCTCCGTGGGTGTCGCACAGGCTCTCGGCCAGCAGACGGGTGCTCTGCCTGCTCACAGCGTCCATGTAACAACACACCCCCCTCAGCCACACAGCCCCGCGGGGCTCGGAACCGAGGATGTGGGCCCTTCACCGGCTCCAGAACCAGGCAGCCAGCTCCCCCGAAGCAAAGGCTGCCTGCTGACAGGTGACTCAGCACCGGCCTGCATTGTCCCTGCTGTCTGCCGGTAACCGGGGCAGGTCCTCCCAGCCCCGGGCGGTTCCCGGCATTTCTCAGGGGAGGCGTGCTGTGAGCTCGGGCTGGGCGGGAGGAGGAGGGGCTTCACCGGGGTCCGCGTGCGAGGAGACGGGCCGACAGGTGAAGGCTGGCCCTACTCCCAGGCGTCAGGCGGCCAACACCCAGTATTGGCGGGACGGCCACTGCTCACTCAGCGAGGCTCTCGGCCCAGACGGCCTGGGACCTGCTTTTCTTT